AGGAATTTGAACCCCTGACGCACCCTCAGTTGATTGAATCAGCCCGCGAAGTCCCTGATCTTTTGCACGCTCCTCACCCACAGCAATACAAAGTGCAGACAGGCCTTTGCTCCCACAAAGAAGGGAAGGCTCTGGTGCTCTTACTGCAGGAGCAGGCAGGTGTGGTGTGAGCCAGGCGGCCACACGCAAATCCGGCTACCGGGCAAGCTGCGAGACAGCGTCCGGCTGAGGTGGAGCAGGAGGAGTTAGTCAGGAGCTGAGTCACGTCTGGGTTCGCCCTGGTTGAGCCTGTCTTTTCCTGTTTGCCTGTGATCTGCAGACTGCTGATTCTTCCGATTTTCCCTCCTTTTTTTGCTAGGGATGACCTCTAAGGATGCTTCAGGTGAAGCTAATAGTAACTGGAGATGACTTTGGCTATTGTCCTCGGAGAAACCAAGGCATTGTGGACTGTTTCCTGGCTGGTGCAGTATCTAACGTGTCCCTTCTAGTCAACGGAAGTGCTGCAGCAGATGCAGCCAAGCTGGCAAGGAGGTAAGCTATTTTCTTTAGCTCCTTTGTGGACAGCCTCCACAGGCTATACACAGGAAGCCAAGCCTGTAAAATTTAGTATTTTGTAGCCCCAGTATAAACACTGTGTCATAGTCCAGGCTGGTATAAGAAAACTGGATTCTAGGCAGAAGACTTTTCATAGTAAAACCAGTGACCTGCCAACCATACCCATAATGGCTCTTTCTCTGGTATTAACCACTGCAGTGCAGCTTTTTTATCTCAGGATAGAAAGCTGCTTACACAATTTGACTGGTAGAGTTTGGGTTTGTTGGACTTCCTTTTCCCACGCTTCTAGAAGATGAACCACAAGAATGAAAAGTCCACACTATATACCCAGGCCAAGCTGCTACCTCTAAAACTATTAGAGCATAGAAGTACAAATCTTTAAGTCTCATTTAATTTGATGCATTTCAGCCAGGCTGAACACAGGGTCAGCCAGGTTCACTGCAGAATCAAGGAAAGGTATGATTCTGTGAGGGCTGTTGTAAATCTAGTCAGTGGAAAACTTGATTTTTTTCCACCCCAGAAACCTTTTAAAAAAGCACCCCAATATTTCTATTAATTCTAGGCTTGATACATCCATTTGTAAAAACTGCATATATAGAAGGACAATTGCTTTTACCTGCCTTGTACCTACCACCTTTACTCCTTCACGAACTTTTCAGAGGTTTCTGGCACAGTTGGCTCTGTAGCAAATCAAATGTTATGTCTCGTTCTCATGAACTAGCCCAGCAAATCCTTTAATAGGAATATTACTTGTATTTAGAAGGTAAAACCCAGCTAATGCTTCAGTTCCAGTGTGCTTCAGTTCCAGTGTGGGCAGGCACTTGGAAGCAGGAGGATGTCCTGAAAGAGAGAGCAGCAGGGTTGAGAAACAATTTAGGAAAGCAAAAAAGGAAAGGAGCTATACTGATATTAGAAGAACCTTACACTTCAAATACAGCTGCTGCAGGGGACAGTTTCATGAGAATCACTATGTCCTTATTCTCCTTGAGCATCTCTCCACATTTTGGCTATGATTTTAGGGGTACTTGCAAATTGCTTGCAGCCTGTAGCTTCTTTGGTGTTGGGTGGTGCAGGAAAGCCAGGGTGTGGTGTTAGTGACAAATGGGTCTTCTGTTAAAAAGGTTGGAGATCACAAACTGGGAGAGGAATTGCCTCTGGGATGATAAGGCAAGAGGCAGGACACAACACTGTTGAGATGCCTAAAATCCTGTTAGTAAATGAAACAAATTGAATATAAAACAAGGAGATAAAAGCCAGCACTTCTCTCAGACACTGAGGCACCATGAAACCCTTTAAGCCCCAATGCTCTGGTAAAGTTGTCAGCTATTTTAGCCATGGTCTTTAGCAGACTTTTAAATATAGAATCCACCTGGCCTCATTTCCATAGCCAGAAAGTAGGCCGTGTAATCAGAGGTTTAAAAAGCATCTTTGAATCCAGGTCATGACACTTGTGCTGACAGCTGATGCGGGTGTGAAAAGCCAGGTTGGAAGGCAGGTGACAGCAGAAGCTGCAACTTGCTGCTACAATTTCATTCTTTTGGGGGGTTGTTTTGAATGTAAATGTGAACAAAATGGATTTAAATCTACTTTTGAGAATATAAACTTTGGGAACATCTGTCAGCACTGAAGATCAACAGCCCAGGTTCCGCAGTTCCTCATTTGGGTAACTCTCTGCAGCTGTATTTAGCCCAACCCACACCTGGGGGAAGCATTTGCAGTTTTGGGGAAAAGGGTTCATCATCAATGCAAGCCCCACTTCAGGTGCTGCTAGTACACTTAATTAGCACCTGTGCATATAAACAAACTCTCATGTCACCCCTGAGATACTTGTTCCTCTATCGCAAAGGTTGACACAAACTCCTCTTAGACACAGATGTCTAATAGATCAGACTTACAGAAATGTCATTGAATCCTCATTTGTGGTGCAAAAATGGGAAAGTACCGCTGTTGCTTGACTGCCTTGCCACTGTTATTCCCTCTTCCCCCTGCTTGGTGGTGTCTCCCATTCCACTATAAATATTGATGCTTTGCTACATTTTGTGTTTTATGGGATGAAAGTCTGCCCTGTTTTTTCTCTCCATGTTTTTCTTCCCCCACAGAGACCCAACTAAGCAAGTACTATATATATATATACACACACACACACATGCGCATGTATGCTTAACTCCATAGCAGACATTTCAGCCTTGACCAGTGGTATAAGCAGGGAGACTGGATCTATCACCAGCTGAGAGAAGAGGCTTGAAGCAAGTAGTTTGTTCTTTCCTGTGGTGCATTCCAGTGTTGTGGGATTTGGTTTTTTGCACACATAGTGCCAGGACTGTCAGAGTGCTGGACTGTTTCTATGGCTTGTGGAGATTATCTGGGTGCTTCTTGCTTAACTGTCTATGACATGGTGGCTCATCACTGCAGGTCTTGAGCTCTCTCTCCTCACCTGGTTTTCAGTTAATTGGACACAGGCAAAGCTAATTAGTAACAAGACAACTATAGTCCTTCTTAAGCACCTCATGCTGCCTGCAATGTTAGGACTCTGCATCCTTCAGAAAGGAACACAGTTCTTCTGGAACTTCATTTTTCCCTTAATTTTCCACAATAATTCTGTAGGCTGCTGGGTATACCATCTGTTGCCCTGTGTTTTGATTAGAAGCCTTGGCAGAAATGTGATGGTAGTCAGCAGATCTTTGTACCAGCTCTAGCACAAACTAATTGCAAAACAGCAGAACCAAGCAGTAAATAATACGCCTTCCCTAACATCTAGGTTCTGGATCTTGGACTTTTCTTACTCACTGCCACAACTGGGCTACAGGAAGGGACCCGCTCACTTCAGGCAAAAGAGAAGTTTCAGCAGAGGCCTGATTTATCATGAAATGCCAAAGCTATTGATAGCAACTGCTAGAGCAGTACATGACCAGAACAGCAGGCAGGAGAAGAGACTTCCATTGCAGGTTTTTTTTTTTTCAGTAACTCAAACCTTGTCTCTTTATGGGACATTGACTACAACTTCCTGGTTATCCATGTAATATAATCTCAATTTTGTACTTATCAAGCCCTACCTTGAAGTCAGCCAGTCTTCCTGGTGCTTATTGCAGAGCCTTTCCTAGAAACTGGAAGGGTTATTTTGTTACCTGAAATGAATAGATTCCTTCATTTTTCCTTAGAAATACAGAGATAGCAGGAACAGAGACACCTAAGATTGTTTGCTGCAATTTTTTTCCTTCCCTTTTATCAACCAGGTCAGTTGTGATTGAGTATGAGGACCCTTTTCCAGATGATTATATCAAAATACTTGATGAAGAGCGACATATTTTAGAACACAACCTCAGTCTTCCTGGGTTTTTTGCACTTTAAATGCTGAACATCAGCTACACAAAAGCTGAAGCCCCCACAACATCTGGGTACATTTAACAGAAGAATCTAACAAAACCACTTAATTGCTGTCTATGTTTTCATTTCCTTTCCCATCAACACTAATTGCAAAATGTATGTGTAAATTGGGACTTAATTCTGACCCTCCCAGTCAACATCTGACTAATCCAGAAGTCTCTCATGCTTTCTCATCACTCTTTTATCTGACTGTTAATCACATAGCAGACAGTTCCACTGCTGAACTGTGTTTGTATTAGGGGTGGTGCCCAATCGGAGGCCTTAAGTGGAATCCCAGATCCTATTAACTTTTACTAGCAGCAGCACTTTTTGCTGATGTAAGGTCATGGACACAGGAGCCTCAGTTGATACAAAGATGTAATTAAAAAGAAAGTCACATCCCTAAGCTACGTTACAGTACCAGTTCTTAACACTGCCGAGGCTTTGGAGTGTCTC